AATTCTCTCACTGTAGGGCTGTAGGTTTGAAAAAAAAACGGTAACATAATCAATTTTCCTTCCTCCTTGCAGCGCGCCCAGACACGCCCTTAATTAACCAAAAAAAATTACATCTTTATTAATAACAAATTAATTATTAAACAAAAATATTAAATATAAACTAATTGCACCTAGTTTTTAAAAAAAATGTGCACAGAATTTTTTTTTTTTGGTGTTTTGCCGCGTGACAAAACAACAATTATGTAAAAGATATGTACACATAGCATGATTGAACTTAATTTATGTTGTTTGTAATTCACACGTGTAAGCATCAATCCTATGCAAAGTTAGACCAGACCACAAACTCATCAAAATATTGTACAATGAATCAAACAAATTACAGGAAAAATTATGATACCTTAATAGGAAATTATACTGTATTTAGTATAAAAAACATAAAACATAACTGGATCCAAAACAAGTCAATTTAAACTGTATTGATAGAAAGCTCTCAGTGCCATTTTTGCACGGTTCCCGATTTGTACTCATTTAAATTCCATCGAGTGGCTTTCCATACTGCAAAATCCCCCGTGTTCCAGGAATAGAATGTATGCCGTTCCAAAATTTACAGTACAGGGGGGGTGGGGGGGTGGGGATGAGTGACATCGCACCTAATAATGCAGCCTCTCGTCGTTGAAGTTCAAGCTCTCTACACCTTTGAGGGTAGCATCAAAATTCTTTATATTAGAGGCGGCGCGTTTGTGATCTGATGATACGACCGGTGAACTTCTTTGAGCAGCACTGGATATTTTGCGGAGTCCTCCTGGGCTTGCGTCTTTCCGTGAAGGATCATAATCATTCCCGGTGAGAACTGGATCGCGGCTACTGGACACAGCAGGTCGCCTTGAAGATCCACTTGAACGGAAAATATTAGAACTTGGTAACTGCAGAAAGCATGACCCAAGGTAAGAGGAAAATAGGACAAAACAAAACATCAATAGGAGAAAAATGAAGATCTCAACATATCCATAATAGAGCCGTGCTACACTGCCCGCGGGGGTGACCGAACGGGTGACCGCACACACTCACATGAGGGGTGGGGATTATTTTATTCATGTGGGACCCGTGCCTCGACTGTGAGGGTGTGGTCATCCTTGCGGTCACCGGCGCGGGTCGTTTAGCATTTTTCTCCAAAATATTCTGATTAGAGTAGTTCTGTTCTACTTATCCTCCACCACTGTCTACGCTCCCACAACATTACCGTTGTGATGCCAGAAGAAGCCACAGTACCACATATATAACTGTGTACAAAAAGGGACTGCTACTATATTTAGCCTCACAGGCAAAATATTACACATTACCACCAAAATACCGAACAGCAAAGAGCACATCGGGGAGAAGGGGGGAAGCGGGTTTGAGAGTGAGAGCAGTCTTACATCTTTACCCGTGGCTGAGTCATTTGCAACTGGGCCTTTTTGTTTTAATAAGCTTCCAGAACTCAAAATGTTTCTACCATAAGTAGCATTTGCGGAAGACAGACCAGTTGCATTTCCTTCTTCACCACCTGCAAAACGTTACAAAATTATTCTTGGTAGTGGGATAGGCAGAGAAGCAAGCAGATTTATCAGCAAAATTATAGTTACAGAAAAAATGTAGAAGTGAAAGCAAACAATCGCACATAGCTAATTGGTACAAGTTCAGCAAGATGCATAGAGAAACCCAAGAATTGCGCTTGGAAATTAAGATCAGGAAATAGGTAAATTCACAAGACCAACCTGATTGCCTATCAATATTGGCACGAGGCATCCCTGAACTTGTTCCACCAGTTGCTCCCTGTCCCAAAAATTCATTATGGTATTCGTATCTCGTAGGTAACAGAAGGCGTGTGTAAAATCTGTGTTACTTACAAGGGCACGAGATGGAGGAGTGGCAAGCTGTGACTGCTGATACTTCAAAATGGTCCAGTCAAATACATAGTCAAATTGAAAACCTGCAGGGTGGGAGGAGAAGGTGAGGCAAAACAGGTAAGCATGACGAATGGTAAAAAAGAAAACATTTAAATAAGATGGTATTAATAGTTAATACTGTAATGCTCAGAGAGAAAATATAACAAAACCTTCACGAATAAAAAGGTCACGGAAAATTCTCTTCAGATAAGCATAGTCTGGTTTATCATCAAACCTAAGCGATCGACAATAATGGAAGTAAGAAGCGAACTCCGTAGGATAGCCGCGACATAAAGCCTGTAAAATCGTAAGCATGAAATTCAGTTCTCTGACATAAAAAGGCTACCACTGTCCAGAAGAAGGGTGAAGCATCTATTACCTCGATAGAGGTTGAAACTTTCTTTTCACTGATTTTTTCGTACTTTTGTTTCTTATTTCCTGCTTTCAGCCCCTGCCAGGGGAGACTACATATTTTGGAGATAATAAGTGAATGCATTTTGGGAAGATCACTAAAACACGGTGGGGGTGGGTTTGATGGAGATAATACCTTCCTCTCAAGAAGTATATCAGAACATATCCAAGTGATTCTAAATCATCCCTCCGACTTTGTTCTGTGAAGGCCGGACAAACATAAAATCAATGCTTAACTAGTTAACTGTCATAGTAGATAGCAAATTGATATAACTTCAAGCTTACCAATGCCAAGGTGAGTATTCATGCTAGCATATCTAGCTGTTCCAGTCAAGTTTTTATTCTCTCTGCATTTAAAAGTGTTATGTTGCTGGGCTGAGTTTGTCAATTTATTATACAAAAAACAGAATATTGCACAATAAAAATTTATTGAACATGAGGAAATGCAAACAGAAACCCCAGGTGGCAAAAACAAAAGGCAGGTAGCTCCTTTCCATATCACACTTCGGGAAGAGAGAGACAGTATTTTAGGGAAGGTAGCTCACAAGCATCTATCTTTGTTTGATTCCTTTCATTCTTATTTCTTGAATTAAAAGCAATAAACCTACTCATAAAAATTCTAGAGAACTTACCTATATGGAATGTGTTGATGGGTTGAGGAGTCTCTATACTTCTTTGCAAGCCCGAAATCAATAATATATACCTGTACATAATTGATAGAGTTACGGCAAATAAAGCATACTTAAGATAGATAGTGATCAAAAAATTAAACCAAACCTGGTTAGCACGCCTTCCTAAGCCCATAAGAAAGTTATCAGGCTTAATATCCCGATGAAGGAAAGATTTAGAATGAACAAACTCAACCCGGTTAATCTGAGAATAAAAAACCAATGTCAGGAAAAGAAATGGAAGAGTGAAACTGTTTTTAATTATTAATCAGTGACAAGCAAACAAAATACCCTACCATCTGATCTGCAAGCATGAGAACAGTCTTTAGAGACAGTTTCCGACTGCAGAAGCTGAACAAATCTTCAAGACTAGGTCCCAATAAATCCATCACAAGGACATTATAGTCTCCCTCAACTCCGAACCATCTAACATTCGGAATTCCAGCTACCAAAATGCGAAAGAATAGCCAACAAACAAGGACATCAACATAATAACCATTAAGTAGTAAAATGAAAAACATGAGAAGGAATTGGAGAAATGAAACAGATCATTACTTCCTCCTTGTAGTAATTTGTATAACTTAGACTCGTAGAGAAGCTGGGGATGCTTTGTCTTGACATTTTCCTGAATGTAAACAGAAAAAGCAATTGGTGACAGTTAAAAGCAAAATAGTAGTTAATCAGCAAACCCCCACCCAAACAAATAAAGATGCACACAAAAACAAACAAAAATAGCCTGGCATGAGTTCAGCATCTTGGAGTCAATGTCTTGCTTTCATAAATCAGTACTATTTTCAGTATATGCGCTGGCTAATCATAATAATTTGACTGAATGAACATCGCTGTTACAAGTCATTTCACTTCAGAGACTTAGGCTGTGTTTGTTACCAATTCTCATTTTCAACAGTAAATCAATTCTCATTTTCAACCACACATTCTTCAATAAAATAATATTTTCTATCACATCAATAATCTTATCTTCTTTTTCAACCACACATTTCCCATCATATCACTATTCAAAATCAATTCTTCCCCCAAAAAATCCCTACCAAACACACACTTAATACCACATTTCATCAGACACAAAGTTCGAAGTGGGTCATGGGAAAAACTATACACTTGCAATCTCAACACCCCAATTGCCACCATTCTTTCCAATTTTAACTCAGCGAGATGGTATTATCCATTGGCGCCCACTTAGAAGACATAAATAACTATAGTTAATGCACTAAAGCTCCATTTGAATTGCAGGAGAGACACATGGAGAAATGCTTCACAGAGAAGTGGTATAGGAAAAGGAAATAATTTCCCGCTAACCAACAAAACAAAATGTTTAAAATAATAACTTCCCTCCACTTTCCTTATTGGAGGCATTCATATGACACCTAAATTACAAATACATGATGAGTGTAAACGACAAGAACAAATACTAACACTATTCTATTGTTTCAAACACACATAAATTCCTTTGCGGCTTCTCTTACTATCTCAACTCCAAACAAACCCATCTTTGGGTTAGACTGTGCTGTAGCAATGTAGTGATAACTAGTCCAATAAAATATGGGAAATTATCAGTACTTGCTATTAGCCAACAGAACTTCAAAAGCTTACAAGAACAGCTTTCTTCCCCCACAGCCTCAGTTTTTAATGAACGCTACACTCATATCCAAAATAAGATGACGCAAACAAGTGACCATAACACATATAATACACGACAGCAAAAGGTGATATGTAAACCATATCTCTGGAGAAGAACTTTTGATTGCATTATATTAAATTGCATCCAACCTCCCTACAAAAACTTCGAAGAAATGGGACTTCAACCGGTCCCTTTTACAAATATATTTCTAATCTCCTTTTATTGATCTAGATAAATTTATGAAAAAAGCACAAACCCCAATCTGTACATAATTCAACGAAATGCACAAATAGTGAAGAGTTCAGAGAAACAAAATATTCCCAAATTTGAGGGGAAAATATTCACAAACCCTTATTTTTTCAATTAGAAAATTCAATTCGCTCACCAGTTTAATAGCAACCTGCTCATTTGTCTGGATATTAGTCCCTGCAATATACAAAACAGACTAATAAAATAACGCAATATAAACTAACAAATCCATAATAATAATAATAATCAAAAAAGAATTAATCAAAACAATAATCACCAAAAAAGACCGACCTAGATAGATCTCTCCGAACGAGCCGCTGCCAATTTTCCGGCCGAGCTGGAATTTGTTCCCCACGCGCGGTTCCATCCAATTTAACAAGAAAAAATAACCCTAGATTTTAAGGTTTTGTTTTCTTTCTTTGTTCTTTACAAAAGAAAAAATAAATAAGGCTGAAAAATTTAGATTTAGAGAGAGGGAAACATAATGAACAATTGAATGCATCAAATCATCTGTGGCTTTCTCTCCACGGGTCTACGCTTTCTTTGATTCAGTCGACGACCCCTGCAAGTCTTTTTGCCATACAACTATTTAGACACGTGTGTATATATGGTTTGTAAATAGCAAAATATGACGGGGTTTCGAATCTATTCACACTACGACGTCGTATAGTAACCGTTTTGTTTGCAAGGGAGGCCCGCAATATATTCAAGTTATAACAAATTGGTTTCGAGTGTAAATTATTGACGACCGTAGTCTCTAATGTGTCATGTTTACAAGTCTTTTAACAAAATTTGGGAAACCTTCCACTTGATCGTCAAACAAGTACATAACTTGCACGTGTCTTATCTTTTGAATGATAATATAAGTAAAATATTTAAATTGACGTTAGTTCAACTCTGATCGAACAAATGGACCCTCAATTTTTTTTCCAAGTACCGAATTTTAATATATTAGGCATAACAACCACGCCACCCACAAGAGGAATGAGGCAAAAGTGCATCTTCTATTTCGCAAGCTGCAATGATCCTTTGATGCCTTAGAGATTATATAATGAAAAATAAATAAAGTTAGCAAAACTATTGTTTCTGTTCATGGTATTACATTATATGTTTAACCAATGATAAACACTTCTTCGTTAGTCTCCATTTCAACTGCCTCATCTTTGCCGTGAACCCAATCTTTGTCTTTTCTCGTGCTTATTTTAGGTGGAAAATGCATTTTGTTGACTTTTTTTTCAATGAAGTGGTTACAAATTGTCAAAAAAGGTGACTGACCCCTTTTTGCAACGGTAAGAATTTACATTATAATGGGAAATAAACGGGGGACAATCATATTTTTTGTATCTTTGTACTATACAAGCACAGAATTTTTAGAGCGTATTCGGTAGAGATTAAAATCGGATTAAAATTGAAAAACTAGTCGTTATTGTTGACTTTTATTAGACGGGTGAGACTCAATAACGACTATATTTTTAATTTTAATTGGATTTTAAGTTTTACCAAACAAGCTCTTAATTCAAAAATCCTTTCCCAAGAACGGAATTTTCGTCTGATTAATTCCACATTGATAATCTGGGAAGCTAATTTCTTCAATGGTCCATTGATACTTCCTCCAGAGATCAATTTTAAAATCATAATGGTGTGAAGATGTGCATATTTGGAAGTGATTAAGGGCTTGTTTGGTAAAGATTCTCCTTTACTACAGTAATTCTATTCTCATTTTCTCCCACAAATTCTACAATAAAATAATATTTTCAATCAC